AGTGAATATAACTCGGCGATGTACCGAATCACATCAGTTTTGAAATTATGTGGTGAAACAGTTAGCGAAAATGAGATGTTGGAAAAAACCTTTTCAACTATGCACGCCTCGAACATTATCCTCCAACAACAGTATCGAGAAAAGGGGTATACAAAATACTCAGAAGAAATAGCAGCCTCCGAAAAGATTCTAAGAAATATCCCTAGGGCCGTGATAATAAAGTCTAACCGCCATAAAAGAAATTACCAAACTTAAGGTAACAAGTTCTTGACGTTTGAAAAATCAGAAATATCCCTAGGGCCGTGATAATAAAGTCTAACCGCCATAAAAGAAATTACCAAACTTAAGGTAACAAGTTCTTGACGTTTGAAAAATCATGAAGTAAATGGTACAGAACCTGTCGGCCGAGATGCATGATTTTTCATCAGTAATTCATTATTCTGCTCGGCCAATAGATTGAGCCACCGCGGGAGGTGGAAAGCGGACTCGATGAGTAGGAACTCGCCGTCGGTGTCCCAGACACGGATAGAGACGGAAGGAAACGCGACGGAGACGCGGAAGAGCAGGAAGACGGCGAACCACTCATCCTCGAGGTTGTCGCCGTAACGGAGCTTCCCATGGAGGTGAGGGATAGGCTTATCTGAGCAGATACAAGACGAGAGAGAAACGGAGAGAGAGAAAGGCTCGTGTTGCCATATGTACGGAGACGTGAATGGGGAAATGAAATTGATAATTTCCAGGTGAAACGATTGGAGGTCGGCGGAGGAGGAGGAGAGGGTGTAGTCTGGGAATACGGAGAAGAAAACAGTATCATCTGGGAGACGAGAGGAGGTCTGAGAGAAGAAAGCTGAAGAAGACGAGTCCGAGTCGGGTTCCGCCATAGCTGAGCTTCTTCCGTTCGTCGGCTACAAAGAGAATTCTAACGCTCCGAATAAACCCTCTGAAAGAGCCAGTAGCTTGCAAAGGCCAAACACCAATGTATATAATTGGATCATTGTGAATAATTACAAAAAGGCCACGATGATAATGTTTGGGCTTTGCACAGGCCCATTTATATCTTCGGTTATGGATTATTGGACCCTGTTGTGCTCAAATGGGTCCCGTATTTATGGCCCAGAGTTCTAATCTCTTCCTCCAAATTATGATTATTGTGACTAATCATTTTGTTCACCTCCGCCAATTTCAATCATTGCAGTTATAATTATAAATTATAGCACATTATATTCATTACTGAAAATTAACCTGCAACTAATCGAATAATTAGACTTTAATCCTAAGCAAGTGGTTTGTTTTTTTATCAAAGAAAAAACTCACAAAACTTAATCCACGACGCACAAATCACATTAAAGACCAATAAATATTACGACAAAAAGGTGTCGACAGTAGCTTCAGACCAAAGTATCGCATCTGCGCCAAGACAGAAACAAATAATAAGCCACTTTTGTATCCGCTAAGTCTATAATATTTGTACTTAGGTCCCAACGGTCATTTTGCTAATGAGAAAGTCCATTAAAATAGTTTGGGTAAGCCCAATTATATATCCACTACCCACTTTACAATTTGGAGGCTCGGATTTGGTACTCAAAATCGGCTTCGGCCCATATATGGATTTGATCCAATTACCCCCCAAAAATACGGATCCTTTCAATATATATATTGTGTTTATGAACAAAACCAATTAATTTTTCTTGGTTTTCATATATTTTTTTTTTCATATTTTTTTCACACGATATTCGTATATATACAAGTTTGAAGATTGCTTGTAGAACCCACATATAAACAAATTAATAAATAAACAAACAAGAGAAGATTTCGTCGGTTTATCAAATCTAATTACCTATTGTATTAATTAATCATGCGCTGATTTTTTTTTATATGATGAATAGAATCAAACATTTAATTTTTAGCGCAGACTAAATTATGTTTTAGAAAGCAACTATAGAGAAATTACTAAACAAACCTTTTTTATTGTGTTGGACGCCTAAATAGTTGTTGGGAAAATATAAAAAGGGATAATCCCTTGGATATGCATGTGATTTTTCATCACAGGATGTGACAAAAAAACATATTACACTTGCGCTTACTAATGATTTTTTTTGATAAAAACTTACTAATGATTTTCCACGTGAAATGATTGGAAAATTATAGAAAATCTTATATAATACCGTAAAATATATCAAATAAATATCTAAAATATTATTTTAATTTAATTAATATCTTAAATATTAAAATATTTTAAATATATATTTTAACTAATATAATTAATAATAATTAACAAATTAAATTCAACGATCTATAAATTAAATGTTAATTTTTAAAATAAAAATAATATAAATTAGATATTAATTTTAAAATAAAAAATAAATTAAGATTATAAACTATTTTGATTTTTTGAATTAAAATATTTATTTAAAATATTTTTCAATTTAAAATATTTTAATATTAATAAAATAGAATTAAAAATTTAAAATATTTATTTGATATATTTTATAAAATTAAAATGTTTATATAGGATTTTCTAAAAAATTCATATAAATATAAACTAAAACTATCAACGCACTCTATATATATATATCATTGAATAGTTACAGATGCTCGCATAAAAATATTGATTTTATAATCCTTTTTTTTTATAAAAAGGGACACTAATGGTTATAGAGGACACGCGGCGAATAAAGGATCTTTGGTGGGCCGAAATGAATGTACAACTCATAATTTCGAGGACACGTCAACAAGTGTCGGTGGCGGTTTTTCCATTCGTTTTGTTTTTTAATGACGGTGTTATAACCAAACATGGATATTTTGGTTTTAAAACTCCATTATTTTATTTTTTTTTATGATCCGGGATGGAATTCCATTATTCAATTGTTTCCAATTGATTTCCTCATACTATTTTATTAGATTTGATAATAACGACATTTGTATCTTCATTTTTTAGTTCCATATATAATCTATTCACAGAATCATTTTATGAAACTATATTAAGTTTGAACAAAAATATGGAAATTGCGAGAAATAGGCTTACATTGTCAAAAGGAATTATTTTTTTATAAATACTTTATATGATACGTTTATATAAGGTTTAATGACATTAGGTAATATTTATTTGTCAAGAATCTAATTAATGAGTGAAATAAAAAAGATGGGTATGAAATTGAACACTGATTAAAATGACAAAAAAATGTTTAATCACCGATTTTTTTTTTCTTTGGTGAGAGAAAAAAAAGGTTTTGTTCATTGTGCTGAAAGTACGGGGGCCCATGACAGAGCGAATTTAACGGATAGGTGTCCATGTGAGATGGCTTTAAAATCAGCTCTCGATGATTAATTGAAAAAAAAAAAAAAACTTGTTGGAAGAGATGAAAGTTTCTGCATTTAATCCAAAAGAGTGAAGGAAAAACAAAACACTGATTTCCCGAGAACCGCGAAAAGGTGGAAGAAGGAGCGAAGAGAGAAGAGAACACAGCTGATATATGTGACTCTGGTTCTTTTCTTTCTTTCTTTTTTTTTTTAAACTTTTGGCTCTTGTGGCTGTGGACTGTGGTTGCTTCTCCTGCGTCGTTTTCCGACAACCTTTGATCGTTTTCGGCTGTTTCGTGACTGGGTTTTGATCAAAGCTTGGAGCTTTCCCCAGAAACTTGATCTGGGTTTCCTTCATTTTGCCCAAGAAGATGAATCTTTACGAGAAATGCACCAGTGATGTTGCCCAGATTCTGAGAGGAGGAACTCTCTTCGTGCTCCTCGTCTTGCAGTTTCCAGTTCTTTTCCCTCATTTTTTCGGTCTCCTCAGCCACGCTGCTTCTTCCAAGCCATCTGTAAGTTGCAATTTTTCGGTCTTTTCTTCCTCTCTCTCTCTCTCTCCGATAACCTTTTTCTCTTTTTCAGACAAGCTTGCCTTTTTCTGGTAAGAACTTTTTTGTTCCCCATGGTAAGTAAGTTCACTTGAACATTGGATTGTGATGCTGGAAATGGTATTTTGCTTTGCCTGTGTGTGTTGTACATGGTAGTCGGTTTATTACATCAGGAAATTTTCCAGTTCAACTCGAGTTCCTCTGGGGCCTTTGCGTTGAACTGGATAATTAGATTAGTCTCCATATTCAGTAAATTTTTGTTTTGAGCAATATAAGCACCCATTAACTGGAATTGACTGCTATCAGACTGCCGAATAATTTAGGATTAATTATTCAAGTCAGAATTCTGGCCGTTTGACAAGATCAGCTAGTGGTACTGTTTGATGAACTCAGCAACTTGTTGCAGGAATGGAACGCCGTGAAACCTAGGCATTTGTCTCTGCTCAAGAGTGCAGTGCAACGTGTAAGTCATATGTTTCTTTGTGGCTCCTCTGGTTCTGTAATAGAACCAAGAATCATTTGAGTTTTTTTCCCCTCGTTTTTGTCCAGTCCAGTGGAGAACAGTCTGATCTCTGGAGGCCTTTGACTGATCAAGGATGGAAACCGTGCATTGATCCAGGAAATGCCCCTTGTAAGTCTTGAACAAATGATCGTTTTATCGTTTCTTGCTTTCGTGTGTACTCAACTTTCTTGCGTGATCATCTATGGGGCAGCAATACCAGAGAAATCAGAAGGTTACATCCAGGTGTTTCTCGATGGAGGGCTGAACCAGCAGAGAATGGGGGTAAGTTGTATTCAGGTTTGCTCGGTATCTACCCGGAAATAAAAATCTCAGCTCTTGAACAAATGATCGTTTTATCGTTTCTTGCTTTCGTGTGTACTCAACTTTCTTGCGTGATCATCTATGGGGCAGCAATACCAGAGAAATCAGAAGGTTACATCCAGGTGTTTCTCGATGGAGGGCTGAACCAGCAGAGAATGGGGGTAAGTTGTATTCAGGTTTGCTCGGTATCTACCCGGAAATAAAAATCTCAGCTTTCCATTAAATTCTTGTACAAAAATTGCATTCCAACATCTGATTCAAAAGCTTTTTTTTTTTTTTGTTTACAGATATGTGATGCAGTTGCAGTTGCAAAGATACTAAACGCCACTCTCGTCGTTCCGTATCTCGAAGTGAATCCTGTTTGGCAGGATTCCAGGTAATGTTTGTTTCTCAAGAAAGTTTGCTGTCTTTTGTAGTTCCGGTCCAGAGAGAATTCCTGATGTTCTAAGCTGAAATTCCATCTTCTTTTTCTTTTTCATGGGTACAGTTCGTTTGTGGAAATCTTTGACGTGGATCACTTTATTGATGTATTAAAGGATGATGTAAGGATAATCAAAGAACTGCCTGAAAAATTCTCATGGAGTACGAGAGAGTACTATGCCACAGCAATCCGTGAAACCCGTGTGAAGACTGCACCTGTCCATGCTTCTGCCAATTGGTATCTCGAGAATGTTTTGCCTGTTCTTGAAAGGTATGCCCTTTAAGCCGAACAGATTTTCAATGAAGAATGCATGCAAGTTTCTGAATCTCAAAACCTCGAATATAATCAATATGTATGGTTTTTGGTATCTGATGTAGTTTTGGGATTGCTGCTATTGCCCCATTCTCACACCGTCTATCCTTCGATCATTTACCTCCGGAGATCCAACGGCTGAGATGCAAAGTTAATTTCCGGGCACTGAGGTTTGTCCCCCATGTTAGAGAACTTGGCGATGCTCTTGTAAGTCGTCTTAGAAATCCGTCATGGAGAAACAAAGAACAGAATGTGGATCACTTGACGGATATAACCAACTCTCACAGCAGACAAGAACCTGGGAAATTCGTTGTTCTTCACCTCCGGTTCGACAAGGTTGTCATGCTCATCTTCTGTTCCACATTCCTTTCTTATCGTTGTGAAATCTCATTATAGATTCTTGATTTCCTGAGATGGGGTTGAGAGAAGGTTTTTGTTTGATCTGTCGTCAGATAAAACCGAGTATTTGTATGTTTTCAGGATATGGCTGCTCATTCTGCCTGCGATTTCGGTGGGGGAAAGGCTGAGAAACTGGCGTTAGCCAAATACAGACAAATGATATGGCAAGGAAGGGTACTCAACTCGCAATTTACAGACGAAGAGCTGAGGAGCCAAGGGCGATGCCCGTTGACACCGGAAGAGATGGGCCTTCTTCTCGCCGCTCTCGGTTTCGACAACAACACCCGTCTCTATCTCGCATCCCACAAGGTCTTTTCCTCATCGATCCTTCCGGGCATATTCCCTCATCAAGGAACGACTTTCTTGGTAGCTGAAAAGTTCTTGGTCAAATCTTGCTGTGTAGGTATATGGAGGGGAAGCTAGGGTTTCAGCACTAAGGCAAGTGTTTCCAAGAATGGAAGACAAGAGAAGCCTTGCTTCATCAGGGGAGCGAGCTCGTATCAAAGGAAAGGCGTCTCTTTTGGCAGCGGTTGATTACTACGTGAGCATGCACAGTGACATCTTCGTCTCTGCCTCTCCAGGAAACATGCACAATGCCCTTGTCAGTAAAAAAAACTTTCATCTGCTGATTTTACGTCTCTTTTCTCCATGAAAACTGTTCGATGTAAAGAATTTCGGGATCTTGAAACGATTTTATGTGCAGGTGGGTCATAGGACATTCGAGAATATGAAGACCATAAGGCCAAACATGGCGTTAATAGGACAGATATTCCTCAACAAAAGCTTAACCTGGATCGAGTTTCAGCAGAAAGTGGGTGAAGGGCATGTGAACAGACAGGGCCAGATCCGTTTAAGGAAGCCGAAACAGTCGTTATACACTTACCCTGCTCCTGACTGCATGTGTCACGTCTGATCCATCTCATCTCTCTCTCTCTCGTTCTTGGTTGGCAGAGGATCCATGGCTATAGCGTACACGATAGTGAGAGGAACAATAAAATCATTCGCGGGTTTGATGCGATGATACCTATTTATTCACTACGGTAGTTGAGGAGAGGCCAGTGTGTAGATATAGCTGGTTTTCATAATATTGGAGCGGGAAGATATGTTCATGTTTCTGATTTACGCTTAGGTTCTGTCTTTTCTTCGGATTGTAATAAATTCTGGGATTCTGTCCAATCAGAAAAACGATATCAGTGATGATATATAATCCTCTTACATATGTTTGGCTTCGGTACACACTTTCGGAAAAAAATGAAAGCCAAAACCCATACTGGTATGGGCAATATCCTGACACCTAATTCATACTGTCTGATCATCGCCATTGCAGCATTAACTGTTTCAATGTATCATCTCATCTGTAATGAAATATACATTGCATTTTCTGATTCAGTACAATACGTCCGTAACTTCATTAGACTACTCGTCGGTATTTGCTTGGACTTGCCCATCTTTCTTCTCCTTGTCACCTGTGGCAGACCCATTTCCATTTCTTCGAGCTCCAGCCAGTTCCTTGGCGTCTGCTACAATGGCAGAAGAAGGTGAATGTGAATGCATCTCTTCCTCGATGGGGAGAGTTCTCTTTGAGCCTTCTAACGCAACCCCAAGCACGATATTCTCCTCGAGAGCTGATGATCTTGACACCGACGGCAACCCATCTGCTTTCTCAGTTTCACGTTGTTGTTCATCGTTCCTGGTGGGTTTCGTGCCGAAACTGCTTTTGATCTTTGCTTTTTCAGCTCCGGATGTCTCTGAATCTTTTACCGGATTTGGTTTCGAGATAGATTTTGTTGCTGGTTTCGCTCCCGGTTCATCTGTTACCTTGCTGTTGGTATCAGAAATCAGAGCTTCTTTGGTCTTGGAACTTGAACTCTTGCTTTCTTGCTCTCCAGTAGATTTTGATGCCCGGTTTTGAGATTTTGATCTGTCTTCTCCGTTGATTTTGTAAGAAGGTTCGATTAGTAACAATGGCCGTCTGGACGAAACACCACCTTGGTTGTATATCGAATCTCCGAAGGGTGGGTTCTCCAAGTCAGAGTCAGAATACATCTTTCTTATTGTACGGATTGGTGTAGCAAGACGTGCTCGGTGGTGGCTTATGACTCTAAGAAGATCCAACATTATGGCTTCCTGTTTCATCAACAAAAACATCCTTAAAATTCATCGATGGAACACGACATATATGCCTGAGAAGAAACACCGTCTTACCTTCACACATAAGTATTCTTCGTGGTGAGACGTTTTCACAAAACACGAGATCAGTATCTGCAACAGGTTGGATAAAAAAAGGATCAGTATCTACAAAAAAAAAAAAAGCTCGAGAGAATCCATGTGTGAGCTCCTATCACTTCAAGCCAAGTATGTTTCCATTGAGAATCTTTGATTTTCTAATCAGTCATCAACTGAAGTAGATGCAAAACGGATAACTGAAATATAAGACAGCTGAGAAATCTTACCAAGAGGGCCTGGTTCTCGGGGTCAACATTATCAAGGAATACTCGTCTATGCAACCTCTGCTGCTCAACTTGAGGGTTCTTGGCCAATACCTTCCGCATGTCAGCTACGATATTCTGTTTAGAGAGAGGCCCAGAAGAACAAGAGAATCAGACAGAACATCTCCTAGTAGACAGAGACAAGGCATATGTAATGAGCAGAGACAGACATTTATTTTGCTAACATCCAAGTGGCTGATGGCTAGGTGAGTTTTGATACGCCAGTGAGTTTTCTGGGTAAGATTTCTGACAACATTGACTGTGAACTTGTGGTTCGGGATATGAACTGCTTCTCGGTCTTCACCCCTTATGATGGTCGGTGACCACCAACCCACATGCTGTAAAAGAGTTGCAGCAACCATTTCAGAAAAGTTAGTGTGCCAACCTTGAAAAGCAATATGAAATGTCATGAGTCCAGAGTTTTATAATCATTTGAATGAAGTAGCAATGCATTTCTTATAAATAAAAAATGCTAACCTCAACTGTACCAGAAACTTCATAACCTTCAATCTTGGTTTGGATCCACTCGTTCACAACAAACGGTCGAGTTGCATGAATCATAACACTTGAAAGGAAGTTTGTGAGTATCTGAAACAACCAAATCTTCTATATGAGCAATCTTTTTTCTCTTTTTGCACAAAAAAAGGAATGAGTAAGTTTTCTTCACCTCTCTGCCAGCAAGAGTAATCAGAACTGTCCCAAGACCTCCAGCAGTGAGCCACTTTTGCGTAGAGAAACCCAACAACTCCATGAATAGGGAAATAGCAGCAACCCATACTGCAGAGTAAATGGCTTTCCCCGCAAATTGGAATCCCATCTGTCCCATTCCAAAGACAAATAAGCAACCATTAAAAAAGAGATTAGATGAGAAGGAAAACTATTTTTTTTTAATACCAAAAAGATAATTATATTGATCATTAATTCTTGTATTTCTTTGTGGAAGCACTGTAACAATTTTATAGACAGCCGAGCCAATATTAATCAAAAGTGTGTATTTTGGTGAATTCTTCAGCACGTACATTTCTTGTATCATTCGGGTCACTTGTCTCTGTGAACAACTTCTGGGTTTGTTGGATAAGACTGCAAAGAAGTATCTGACCCATATCAGATGTCACGGAATGATGACGACATAACAAATTCAGACATAGCACTAGAAGCCATCGGTAACTGGAAAGACAGAACACTTACCTCGACAAGCAGTAAGCGAAAGCTAGTACAGTTGACAATGATCTCACGAAATTCAAAAGCCGGTCCTTCACAACTTGGCTTGCTTCAGTGGGTAAGACAACAGGATCTAACGCTCTACATAAGGAACATTCATAATGAGTAACACCATCTTACAACTATCTCAGCAATAAGCTTCAGGAAATCTATAATAGATATACCTGCAGATGAATAAGGCTCCTAACCACAGCAGCAGAGGTTGAATATACGAAGTCATAACATGGTACGTACTACTCTTCTTCCAGTTGTTATCACTCTTCTACAAGATTTCAAAGGTAATGATAGTCAGAATATCTTAAAAGAACAAGAGAAAGAAAACAGAGAACATATATCAATTTGAAATGACTGGCACATACATTGAATAGTTGGTTTCTTCCTTGACGAACAAGTGGCACTACACCCCACATCGAGAAAATAAGAAGGGCAACAGCCGGAACCAACTTATATACAACAGGGAAATTTTGAATGGCATTGTAAGACCTGCATATAACCAAAAACCAAGTGCAAATATTTGCCAAATCATAAACAAGGGCACTTGTCAGAAGAAACAGAAATGCAATCCTTCAAAAATTCCAAAAGAACAATGGCAATACCAATGCATCCTCATCAAAGAAGAGAAGTGAAATTGCACTAACTACAACAGTTTCACATTCTACTAGGGTGCTCAATATAATTTTGATGCCCGGTTTTGAGATTTTGATCTGTCTTCTCCGTTGATTTTGTAAGAAGGTTCGATTAGTAACAATGGCCGTCTGGACGAAACACCACCTTGGTTGTATATCGAATCTCCGAAGGGTGGGTTCTCCAAGTCAGAGTCAGAATACATCTTTCTTATTGTACGGATTGGTGTAGCAAGACGTGCTCGGTGGTGGCTTATGACTCTAAGAAGATCCAACATTATGGCTTCCTGTTTCATCAACAAGAACATCCTTAAAATTCATCGATGGAACACGACATATATGCCTGAGAAGAAACACCGTCTTACCTTCACACATAAGTATTCTTCGTGGTGAGACGTTTTCACAAAACACGAGATCAGTATCTGCAACAGGTTGGATAAAAAAAGGATCAGTATCTACAAAAAAAAAAAAAGCTCGAGAGAATCCATGTGTGAGCTCCTATCACTTCAAGCCAAGTATGTTTCCATTGAGAATCTTTGATTTTCTAATCAGTCATCAACTGAAGTAGATGCAAAACGGATAACTGAAATATAAGACAGCTGAGAAATCTTACCAAGAGGGCCTGGTTCTCGGGGTCAACATTATCAAGGAATACTCGTCTATGCAACCTCTGCTGCTCAACTTGAGGGTTCTTGGCCAATACCTTCCGCATGTCAGCTACGATATTCTGTTTAGAGAGAGGCCCAGAAGAACAAGAGAATCAGACAGAACATCTCCTAGTAGACAGAGACAAGGCATATGTAATGAGCAGAGACAGACATTTATTTTGCTAACATCCAAGTGGCTGATGGCTAGGTGAGTTTTGATACGCCAGTGAGTTTTCTGGGTAAGATTTCTGACAACATTGACTGTGAACTTGTGGTTCGGGATATGAACTGCTTCTCGGTCTTCACCCCTTATGATGGTCGGTGACCACCAACCCACATGCTGTAAAAGAGTTGCAGCAACCATTTCAGAAAAGTTAGTGTGCCAACCTTGAAAAGCAATATGAAATGTCATGAGTCCAGAGTTTTATAATCATTTGAATGAAGTAGCAATGCATTTCTTATAAATAAAAAATGCTAACCTCAACTGTACCAGAAACTTCATAACCTTCAATCTTGGTTTGGATCCACTCGTTCACAACAAACGGTCGAGTTGCATGAATCATAACACTTGAAAGGAAGTTTGTGAGTATCTGAAACAACCAAATCTTCTATATGAGCAATCTTTTTTCTCTTTTTGCACAAAAAAAGGAATGAGTAAGTTTTCTTCACCTCTCTGCCAGCAAGAGTAATCAGAACTGTCCCAAGACCTCCAGCAGTGAGCCACTTTTGCGTAGAGAAACCCAACAACTCCATGAATAGGGAAATAGCAGCAACCCATACTGCAGAGTAAATGGCTTTCCCCGCAAATTGGAATCCCATCTGTCCCATTCCAAAGACAAATAAGCAACCATTAAAAAAGAGATTAGATGAGAAGGAAAACTATTTTTTTTTAATACCAAAAAGATAATTATATTGATCATTAATTCTTGTATTTCTTTGTGGAAGCACTGTAACAATTTTATAGACAGCCGAGCCAATATTAATCAAAAGTGTGTATTTTGGTGAATTCTTCAGCACGTACATTTCTTGTATCATTCGGGTCACTTGTCTCTGTGAACAACTTCTGGGTTTGTTGGATAAGACTGCAAAGAAGTATCTGACCCATATCAGATGTCACGGAATGATGACGACATAACAAATTCAGACATAGCACTAGAAGCCATCGGTAACTGGAAAGACAGAACACTTACCTCGACAAGCAGTAAGCGAAAGCTAGTACAGTTGACAATGATCTCACGAAATTCAAAAGCCGGTCCTTCACAACTTGGCTTGCTTCAGTGGGTAAGACAACAGGATCTAACGCTCTACATAAGGAACATTCATAATGAGTAACACCATCTTACAACTATCTCAGCAATAAGCTTCAGGAAATCTATAATAGATATACCTGCAGATGAATAAGGCTCCTAACCACAGCAGCAGAGGTTGAATATACGAAGTCATAACATGGTACGTACTACTCTTCTTCCAGTTGTTATCACTCTTCTACAAGATTTCAAAGGTAATGATAGTCAGAATATCTTAAAAGAACAAGAGAAAGAAAACAGAGAACATATATCAATTTGAAATGACTGGCACATACATTGAATAGTTGGTTTCTTCCTTGACGAACAAGTGGCACTACACCCCACATCGAGAAAATAAGAAGGGCAACAGCCGGAACCAACTTATATACAACAGGGAAATTTTGAATGGCATTGTAAGACCTGCATATAACCAAAAACCAAGTGCAAATATTTGCCAAATCATAAACAAGGGCACTTGTCAGAAGAAACAGAAATGCAATCCTTCAAAAATTCCAAAAGAACAATGGCAATACCAATGCATCCTCATCAAAGAAGAGAAGTGAAATTGCACTAACTACAACAGTTTCACATTCTACTAGGGTGCTCAATATAATTTTGATGCCCGGTTTTGAGATTTTGATCTGTCTTCTCCGTTGATTTTGTAAGAAGGTTCGATTAGTAACAATGGCCGTCTGGACGAAACACCACCTTGGTTGTATATCGAATCTCCGAAGGGTGGGTTCTCCAAGTCAGAGTCAGAATACATCTTTCTTATTGTACGGATTGGTGTAGCAAGACGTGCTCGGTGGTGGCTTATGACTCTAAGAAGATCCAACATTATGGCTTCCTGTTTCATCAACAAGAACATCCTTAAAATTCATCGATGGAACACGACATATATGCCTGAGAAGAAACACCGTCTTACCTTCACACATAAGTATTCTTCGTGGTGAGACGTTTTCACAAAACACGAGATCAGTATCTGCAACAGGTTGGATAAAAAAAGGATCAGTATCTACAAAAAAAAAAAAAGCTCGAGAGAATCCATGTGTGAGCTCCTATCACTTCAAGCCAAGTATGTTTCCATTGAGAATCTTTGATTTTCTAATCAGTCATCAACTGAAGTAGATGCAAAACGGATAACTGAAATATAAGACAGCTGAGAAATCTTACCAAGAGGGCCTGGTTCTCGGGGTCAACATTATCAAGGAATACTCGTCTATGCAACCTCTGCTGCTCAACTTGAGGGTTCTTGGCCAATACCTTCCGCATGTCAGCTACGATATTCTGTTTAGAGAGAGGCCCAGAAGAACAAGAGAATCAGACAGAACATCTCCTAGTAGACAGAGACAAGGCATATGTAATGAGCAGAGACAGACATTTATTTTGCTAACATCCAAGTGGCTGATGGCTAGGTGAGTTTTGATACGCCAGTGAGTTTTCTGGGTAAGATTTCTGACAACATTGACTGTGAACTTGTGGTTCGGGATATGAACTGCTTCTCGGTCTTCACCCCTTATGATGGTCGGTGACCACCAACCCACATGCTGTAAAAGAGTTGCAGCAACCATTTCAGAAAAGTTAGTGTGCCAACCTTGAAAAGCAATATGAAATGTCATGAGTCCAGAGTTTTATAATCATTTGAATGAAGTAGCAATGCATTTCTTATAAATAAAAAATGCTAACCTCAACTGTACCAGAAACTTCATAACCTTCAATCTTGGTTTGGATCCACTCGTTCACAACAAACGGTCGAGTTGCATGAATCATAACACTTGAAAGGAAGTTTGTGAGTATCTGAAACAACCAAATCTTCTATATGAGCAATCTTTTTTCTCTTTTTGCACAAAAAAAGGAATGAGTAAGTTTTCTTCACCTCTCTGCCAGCAAGAGTAATCAGAACTGTCCCAAGACCTCCAGCAGTGAGCCACTTTTGCGTAGAGAAACCCAACAACTCCATGAATAGGGAAATAGCAGCAACCCATACTGCAGAGTAAATGGCTTTCCCCGCAAATTGGAATCCCATCTGTCCCATTCCAAAGACAAATAAGCAACCATTAAAAAAGAGATTAGATGAGAAGGAAAACTATTTTTTTTTAATACCAAAAAGATAATTATATTGATCATTAATTCTTGTATTTCTTTGTGGAAGCACTGTAACAATTTTATAGACAGCCGAGCCAATATTAATCAAAAGTGTGTATTTTGGTGAATTCTTCAGCACGTACATTTCTTGTATCATTCGGGTCACTTGTCTCTGTGAACAACTTCTGGGTTTGTTGGATAAGACTGCAAAGAAGTATCTGACCCATATCAGATGTCACGGAATGATGACGACATAACAAATTCAGACATAGCACTAGAAGCCATCGGTAACTGGAAAGACAGAACACTTACCTCGACAAGCAGTAAGCGAAAGCTAGTACAGTTGACAATGATCTCACGAAATTCAAAAGCCGGTCCTTCACAACTTGGCTTGCTTCAGTGGGTAAGACAACAGGATCTAACGCTCTACATAAGGAACATTCATAATGAGTAACACCATCTTACAACTATCTCAGCAATAAGCTTCAGGAAATCTATAATAGATATACCTGCAGATGAATAAGGCTCCTAACCACAGCAGCAGAGGTTGAATATACGAAGTCATAACATGGTACGTACTACTCTTCTTCCAGTTGTTATCACTCTTCTACAAGATTTCAAAGGTAATGATAGTCAGAATATCTTAAAAGAACAAGAGAAAGAAAACAGAGAACATATATCAATTTGAAATGACTGGCACATACATTGAATAGTTGGTTTCTTCCTTGACGAACAAGTGGCACTACACCCCACATCGAGAAAATAAGAAGGGCAACAGCCGGAACCAACTTATATACAACAGGGAAATTTTGAATGGCATTGTAAGACCTGCATATAACCAAAAACCAAGTGCAAATATTTGCCAAATCATAAACAAGGGCACTTGTCAGAAGAAACAGAAATGCAATCCTTCAAAAATTCCAAAAGAACAATGGCAATACCAATGCATCCTCATCAAAGAAGAGAAGTGAAATTGCACTAACTACAACAGTTTCACATTCTACTAGGGTGCTCAATATAATTTTGATGCCCGGTTTTGAGATTTTGATCTGTCTTCTCCGTTGATTTTGTAAGAAGGTTCGATTAGTAACAATGGCCGTCTGGACGAAACACCACCTTGGTTGTATATCGAATCTCCGAAGGGTGGGTTCTCCAAGTCAGAGTCAGAATACATCTTTCTTATTGTACGGATTGGTGTAGCAAGACGTGCTCGGTGGTGGCTTATGACTCTAAGAAGATCCAACATTATGGCTTCCTGTTTCATCAACAAGAACATCCTTAAAATTCATCGATGGAACACGACATATATGCCTGAGAAGAAACACCGTCTTACCTTCACACATAAGTATTCTTCGTGGTGAGACGTTTTCACAAAACACGAGATCAGTATCTGCAACAGGTTGGATAAAAAAAGGATCAGTATCTACAAAAAAAAAAAAAGCTCGAGAGAATCCATGTGTGAGCTCCTATCACTTCAAGCCAAGTATGTTTCCATTGAGAATCTTTGATTTTCTAATCAGTCATCAACTGAAGTAGATGCAAAACGGATAACTGAAATATAAGACAGCTGAGAAATCTTACCAAGAGGGCCTGGTTCTCGGGGTCAACATTATCAAGGAATACTCGTCTATGCAACCTCTGCTGCTCAACTTGAGGGTTCTTGGCCAATACCTTCCGCATGTCAGCTACGATATTCTGTTTAGAGAGAGGCCCAGAAGAACAAGAGAATCAGACAGAACATCTCCTAGTAGACAGAGACAAGGCATATGTAATGAGCAGAGACAGACATTTATTTTGCTAACATCCAAGTGGCTGATGGCTAGGTGAGTTTTGATACGCCAGTGAGTTTTCTGGGTAAGATTTCTGACAACATTGACTGTGAACTTGTGGTTCGGGATATGAACTGCTTCTCGGTCTTCACCCCTTATGATGGTCGGTGACCACCAACCCACATGCTGTAAAAGAGTTGCAGCAACCATTTCAGAAAAGTTAGTGTGCCAACCTTGAAAAGCAATATGAAATGTCATGAGTCCAGAGTTTTATAATCATTTGAATGAAGTAGCAATGCATTTCTTATAAATAAAAAATGCTAACCTCAACTGTACCAGAAACTTCATAACCTTCAATCTTGGTTTGGATCCACTCGTTCACAACAAACGGTCGAGTTGCATGAATCATAACACTTGAAAGGAAGTTTGTGAGTATCTGAAACAACCAAATCTTCTATATGAGCAATCTTTTTTCTCTTTTTGCACAAAAAAAGGAATGAGTAAGTTTTCTTCACCTCTCTGCCAGCAAGAGTAATCAGAACTGTCCCAAGACCTCCAGCAGTGAGCCACTTTTGCGTAGAGAAACCCAACAACTCCATGAATAGGGAAATAGCAGCAACCCATACTGCAGAGTAAATGGCTTTCCCCGCAAATTGGAATCCCATCTGTCCCATTCCAAAGACAAATAAGCAACCATTAAAAAAGAGATTAGATGAGAAGGAAAACTATTTTTTTTTAATACCAAAAAGATAATTATATTGATCATTAATTCTTGTATTTCTTTGTGGAAGCACTGTAACAATTTTATAGACAGCCGAGCCAATATTAATCAAAAGTGTGTATTTTGGTGAATTCTTCAGCACGTACATTTCTTGTATCATTCGGGTCACTTGTCTCTGTGAACAACTTCTGGGTTTGTTGGATAAGACTGCAAAGAAGTATCTGACCCATATCAGATGTCACGGAATGATGACGACATAACAAATTCAGACATAGCACTAGAAGCCATCGGTAACTGGAAAGACAGAACACTTACCTCGACAAGCAGTAAGCGAAAGCTAGTACAGTTGACAATGATCTCACGAAATTCAAAAGCCGGTCCTTCACAACTTGGCTTGCTTCAGTGGGTAAGACAACAGGATCTAACGCTCTACATAAGGAACATTCATAATGAGTAACACCATCTTACAACTATCTCAGCAATAAGCTTCAGGAAATCTATAATAGATATACCTGCAGATGAATAAGGCTCCTAACCACAGCAGCAGAGGTTGAATATACGAAGTCATAACATGGTACGTACTACTCTTCTTCCAGTTGTTATCACTCTTCTACAAGATTTCAAAGGTAATGATAGTCAGAATATCTTAAAAGAACAAGAGAAAGAAAACAGAGAACATATATCAATTTGAAATGACTGGCACATACATTGAATAGTTGGTTTCTTCCTTGACGAACAAGTGGCACTACACCCCACATCGAGAAAATAAGAAGGGCAACAGCCGGAACCAACTTATATACAACAGGGAAATTTTGAATGGCATTGTAAGACCTGCATATAACCAAAAACCAAGTGCAAATATTTGCCAAATCATAAACAAGGGCACTTGTCAGAAGAAACAGAAATGCAATCCTTCAAAAATTCCAAAAGAACAATGGCAATACCAATGCATCCTCATCAAAGAAGAGAAGTGAAATTGCACTAACTACAACAGTTTCACATTCTACTAGGGTGCTCAATATAATTTTGATGCCCGGTTTTGAGATTTTGATCTGTCTTCTCCGTTGATTTTGTAAGAAGGTTCGATTAGTAACAATGGCCGTCTGGACGAAACACCACCTTGGTTGTATATCGAATCTCCGAAGGGTGGGTTCTCCAAGTCAGAGTCAGAATACATCTTTCTTATTGTACGGATTGGTGTAGCAAGACGTGCTCGGTGGTGGCTTATGACTCTAAGAAGATCCAACATTATGGCTTCCTGTTTCATCAACAAGAACATCCTTAAAATTCATCGATGGAACACGACATATATGCCTGAGAAGAAACACCGTCTTACCTTCACACATAAGTATTCTTCGTGGTGAGACGTTTTCACAAAACACGAGATCAGTATCTGCAACAGGTTGGATAAAAAAAGGATCAGTATCTACAAAAAAAAAAAAAGCTCGAGAGAATCCATGTGTGAGCTCCTATCACTTCAAGCCAAGTATGTTTCCATTGAGAATCTTTGATTTTCTAATCAGTCATCAACTGAAGTAGATGCAAAACGGATAACTGAAATATAAGACAGCTGAGAAATCTTACCAAGAGGGCCTGGTTCTCGGGGTCAACATTATCAAGGAATACTCGTCTATGCAACCTCTGCTGCTCAACTTGAGGGTTCTTGGCCAATACCTTCCGCATGTCAGCTACGATATTCTGTTTAGAGAGAGGCCCAGAAGAACAAGAGAATCAGACAGAACATCTCCTAGTAGACAGAGACAAGGCATATGTAATGAGCAGAGACAGACATTTATTTTGCTAACATCCAAGTGGCTGATGGCTAGGTGAGTTTTGATACGCCAGTGAGTTTTCTGGGTAAGATTTCTGACAACATTGACTGTGAACTTGTGGTTCGGGATATGAACTGCTTCTCGGTCTTCACCCCTTATGATGGTCGGTGACCACCAACCCACATGCTGTAAAAGAGTTGCAGCAACCATTTCAGAAAAGTTAGTGTGCCAACCTTGAAAAGCAATATGAAATGTCATGAGTCCAGAGTTTTATAATCATTTGAATGAAGTAGCAATGCATTTCTTATAAATAAAAAATGCTAACCTCAACTGTACCAGAAACTTCATAACCTTCAATCTTGGTTTGGATCCACTCGTTCACAACAAACGGTCGAGTTGCATGAATCATAACACTTGAAAGGAAGTTTGTGAGTATCTGAAACAACCAAATCTTCTATATGAGCAATCTTTTTTCTCTTTTTGCACAAAAAAAGGAATGAGTAAGTTTTCTTCACCTCTCTGCCAGCAAGAGTAATCAGAACTGTCCCAAGACCTCCAGCAGTGAGCCACTTTTGCGTAGAGAAACCCAACAACTCCATGAATAGGGAAATAGCAGCAACCCATACTGCAGAGTAAATGGCTTTCCCCGCAAATTGGAATCCCATCTGTCCCATTCCAAAGACAAATAAGCAACCATTAAAAAAGAGATTAGATGAGAAGGAAAACTATTTTTTTTTAATACCAAAAAGATAATTATATTGATCATTAATTCTTGTATTTCTTTGTGGAAGCACTGTAACAATTTTATAGACAGCCGAGCCAATATTAATCAAAAGTGTGTATTTTGGTGAATTCTTCAGCACGTACATTTCTTGTATCATTCGGGTCACTTGTCTCTGTGAACAACTTCTGGGTTTGTTGGATAAGACTGCAAAGAAGTATCTGACCCATATCAGATGTCACGGAATGATGACGACATAACAAATTCAGACATAGCACTAGAAGCCATCGGTAACTGGAAAGACAGAACACTTACCTCGACAAGCAGTAAGCGAAAGCTAGTACAGTTGACAATGATCTCACGAAATTCAAAAGCCGGTCCTTCACAACTTGGCTTGCTTCAGTGGGTAAGACAACAGGATCTAACGCTCTACATAAGGAACATTCATAATGAGTAACACCATCTTACAAACGTTCGGTCTCGACTGCAAAAGTCAGAACGGATGTTCTGCCTAGTAGAACGGACGTTCTGCATGGCAGAACGGACGGTCCAACCTTCCGTTCTGTGCCAATCAGTCCGTCACCCGTGGA